AATGAAGAGGACAGGTCACTGATACAGAGTGATCTGGATCGCTTGGTAAGCTCGACCCAAGCAAAAAATATACTTTTTAATATGACTAAATGTAAATGTATACATCTGGGAACAAAGAATGTAGACCATATTTACAGGTTGGGTGATGCTGTCCTGGGAAGCAGTGGCTCTGAAAAAGATTTGGGGGTCCAGGTGGACAATCAGCTGAACATGAGCTCCTAGTGTGATGCTGTGACCCCAAAGGACTAATATGATTCCTGGATGCATAAATGGGGGACTCTCAAGCATGAGTAGAGAGGTTATTTTACCTCTGTATTTGGCAGTAGTGCTACTGCTGCTGGAATACTGTGTTTAGCTCTGTGATCCACAACTCAAGAAGGATGTTGATAAATTGGAGAGGGTTCAGAGAAGAGCCACCAGATTGATTAAAAGATTAGATTTGAGTGATGGACTCAAGGAGCTCAATCTATTTAGCTTAACAAAGAGAATGTTAAGGGGTGACTTGATTACAGTCTATAAGTACTTATATGGGGAACAAATATTTAATATAGGCTCTTCAGTCTAGCAGAGAAATGTATAAGCTGGTCCAGTGGCTGGAAGTTGAAGCTGGAAAAATTCATGAAACGAGGTGTACATTTTTAAAGGTCAGAGTAATTAACCAGGGGAACAACTTACCAAGAGTTGTGGTGCATTCTCCATCACTGACCATTTTAAAATTCAGATTGGATGTTTTTCTAAAGGATACATTCTAAGAATTATTTTGGGGAAGTTCTATGGCCTGTGTTCTACAGGAGGTCAGACTAGATGATCACAATGGTCCCTGCTGGCCTTGAAATCTAAGAATCTATGTATTTTTAAGTAAGAGGATAGATAACTAAATTTTGTATATTGAACACTAAATGCTCAAGAGATAAATTTAATGTTTAACTACTTACAAAAATTTAAATATACGGCATGCTGCATACCTATTTGTTAATGTAAGGCCAGTCTTCTTAGCATTTAGCATTAAGATAATATGTGGATAATGGTCTATTATATATATTATAGAGGGGAAGCAACAGAATTTTGTAACACTGTATCATAGCTTATGTCTTACAAATCAGAAATAACTCTTGGCCTGTAGCTACGTCACTTGAAATTGTAATCCTGCTTGTTCTTACAAACTACGTGGTGCCAGGCCAGTACTTGGATAGGACGGCACCAGGGAAGTTATGGGTTCTTTGGGAAGTGTCAGATGGTGATTTAGTAGGAGTCATTTACACCTCGATTCTTCACCTCTAGTCCTATACTAGTTCTATTGTGCAATATTACATTGCTAAGTTTCAGTCCAGATGTAGCTGCATTTCAGTACTGAATAAAGGGATCTCATTGGTTTCTAAAGTTCACTTGTGTGTAGAATATGTTTGTATCAGTGCTTGTCAAATGCTTTGGAATCTTTTGGGAATTAAAGTGGAATAAATATAAGAAGTTATAGCAATATACTAAAACTTCTGTGATAAAAGAAGAATAGGGAAATAAAATTGCTTCTGTCCTTCAGTTAATGAGAAATGGGATTGAAGAGAAAGTAATTTTTTGGAGTGACAAAGACAAATTTTGAAGACTAGTGTTGATACGCCACAGGACACACTATACAGTGTATTCCAATGCTACGATTATTGAGGAAAGAACTGCATACGCAAGCCAGATAAAACAAGAGGTACTTCACACATCCTTTGGGAAATATGTAATTCTCTAAAATCATTGAGTCTTGACAGAAATTGCAGCTTCCTGAAGAAATATTTAGGCAAGAGGGAAATATCAGAATAACATTCTCTGTTATGAACTTTCAAAAGGTATGAAGGTCATTATTGAAAAGTGTTTTGGGGCACCTTTAGTAGATATTGACATTAGAGCGTCCAAATGCTATTTTAAATTTATATGGCAATTGAAGTACTATACAAATAATACTGTGGGGGAAAAAAGCCAGTACTTAATAAAACCACATTCCCATGAAGGAGTTCTAGTGATAGCATAAATTGTAAGAATGAACCATGAGCAATTTGTCAATGTCACCAGGACCCAGTGGTTATAGCCTCACTTTCACGATTATAGGGCAAAAATTCTCCACTTGTGAATCCACACTGTTACTTTCTATATTGCTCTAGATCCCAGTATAAAACTCATGTCGACATCAGTAGGAATTCTGTGTACAAGATCAGAGTGCAGTGTGTGCAATAAAAGTCCACGGTGCAGCTCTGAGAATCGGAGCTCATTCTGGGGGTATGCCTTCCCTGCCAGAAAGACGTGTTTTTACCATGTGCATTAGCTGCCCTGCTATAAAATCCTAGTAAAGATAAGGCACTCTAGTAGTTTAACTATGAGGTAAATAGGCAAGATCAATCATGGGGTGGGGAGGTGGGATCTAGTGTTGACCTCACCTACATCATTGTAAAAACGACAGTGTCTTGTCTCCACTAGGATTTTACAGTAGGATGCACATCACTCATCCCACAGTAAAAACACACCCTTTTTTTGGCAGTGAAAACAAAGCCTTGATGCAGATGATTTTTAAATGTGTGGTAATAAAAGAACACTTGTTTCCTTATTGCTTATTACTTTCTCCTGTCTCCCTCCCCTGTCATTTTTCTTTTACAACACCTCAGCATCTCCAAACCTGCCTGTGATCAGGTTTCTCTCATGATTTGCTAGACAAGGGGGAAAAAATCCTCAATTAGAGGCGTGTTCTGAAACTGTGGGGTGATTGATTGATTGCCTCCTGGCCAGATGGGGTGGAACTAGGTGATAATCCATTAGGTACCTGGGCTTTATAAGCAATCTAAGGGAGCTCAGTTGAGGGGGAGATTATAGAGAAGTCAGGCTTCTTCTGCAGGGAAGAAGAGAAGCTTTTGTAAGGAAAGTCTTGAGGGAGGACTGTGAAAGAAGTGAGGGGATCTTAACATAGCCCTAGGGAGGGGCAGAAGGCCGTTTTTGTTGATGGCTGATTGGAGCTTGTGCTGTTGGACTTTTGATCTCTCAGGAGGGAATGAGACTGGAGAATCATCTGACTAGAGGACTGGGCCACAGAACACAGACAAAGGATGAGCCTACGCAGCACAGAGGAAGTAGCTAAAGGGGGCTGGAGCTGCAGATCAGTGCAATACTGACTCCTGATGCAAAGAGATGCTATGACCATCAGTAGAGATGGTTATGCTGCCACTTCCCACCCCCTCTGTCCTGTAGCTTTAGCCCCATCTCCAATTCCAAACCGATTGACCCCTTAGCCTCCAATTTCTGTCCTGCTTACTGGTAACCACTGTAGCTTCTATTTATATATGTAGAAAATAAAACTTGGTGGCATCTGTGATTAAACCAGCAGCCAGTTGGTGTGTTCAATCTTAACCTCTTTTTTCAACTATGGTTCAATTAAGAATGTTTGTGAATGTATCTTCATGATCATTTACTAGTGAAATACTACAGGATCTTTCAACACTGTAACTACACTTTACTTGTAGCTATATGTATTATCTAAATGAATTTAATAGTCAATTAATTAGTAGGGTTTTTTAAAGTGGAATACTGGAATCAGCCCTTCCTAAAAGAATGGCATGATGTTGAATCACAAGAAAATCGTCAATCGTGTCCCGTTATGGTCTCCTAGTTAAATCTTTGTCAAGAGAGGCACACATGATGTTGCTAAGTCAATAAAGGGTGAACTTCAAAAGGTTTGGAGGTTTGGGGTCTTACATGAACATTTTCAGACTCTTTTGGTTGAGAATAGGCACAAAAACAATCTATCTTGTGAGACTTCCCATATTACTTTCTTTTGGTGAGATTAATAGCATTTTTGAAGTTCCTTTTCATTTGACTGATGGTCTTGTGTTTAAAACATGAGACTGAGAGCCAGGAGCTGTGTTCCATTGCTGGCTTTGCCACAGTCCTCCTATATGACACCGAGAAAGTCACTTAACCTCTCTCTGCTCTGGTTATCCCACATGTAAAATGTGGATAAATTCTTACCTCCTTTACCTGTTTTCTTATGGCAAGCTAAGTTCTGACTTACCTCGCAATAGTAACGTGAGGAATACTTCACTCATGACTGCAAAATACTTGGAGATCCTTGATAGAAATTTATAAAGAAGTGTAATGTAAGATTTCCAGAGGAAATCAGGAATTGTAGGGGTGAACTTGTGGTTGTACATCAAAACTTTGGTTGCTTGGGAGTGGGTAGTTTTATCCTTCCCAGAAAATGTTTACTTAACCTCATAACACAGTTGCCTGCAATTGATAAAGCACATTTGAAAATGTAGATTTAAAAAAGTTGGTGGGGAATCCACTACATTTACCATTACATTGACAGACTTGAAAAATATGTACTGCTTTTACAAAATAGATACAACTATTAGGTGTATAGGTGAAGCTCACATCCTTATGCTATCAAAGCATCCTGATACTTGCATTCCTGTTCTGCAGAATTCTAGTAAATTCTTGTCCAATAGAAGTTTGTACTTGACCATCATAAAAGTTTATTCCATAGTAGGGGCTGAATTCTTCTTAGATATGGGTGCACAACAATTCTCATTGAATGGACTGGGGTTTGGGCATATATTAACTAAGATAGAATTTGCATCTATGCAATTTGAGCCATATTCGGACCTCCCACACTGTGCAATCCAGTTGACTTCAGTGGTATTGCACAGGGTGTAAATGAGAGCAGAACATAGTCATCTGCATGAAGTTACTCACTTAGTTCCCTAAAAAGCCTGTGTGATTTGTGTAGATTAAAAGACAGATAAGAGGTGATTCTTTTTAAATAAATGTTGAGCAAATGTTAATCTTCCCACTTCTAATCAAAATAATCCCTTATGACAGTACTTAGGGCATGTAGTGACTTGGAATGTTCTGTTGAATCATTAACTGTGGTCAAGATTACTTATGTATTAGATCTAATACTACACAAATTTTCATCATGCTGGAATAAAACCAAGAAATTCTAATCAGTCTCTTCTTTTTTTCCCTTCTAGTTAATGGTCTAATGACACTTGGATTTACAGGTGAGCTTTTTAAAGTTCAAACATATATTACTTTTTTGTTAATGAGAGCCCTTTAAAAAACACACACACACAAAACCACAACATAAGTAGGTTCAGCTAGTCAACTCTAGACACTTTTGTCCATTAGCAGTTTGCTTTTAATTTGGAATATGTATGCGGGTTTTTCAATATGTCCTAGTCTTTAACCAGTCTAGATAGTGATGGGAAAACTTTAAAATGCTCCATGGGTCCGATTTCGCTAAGAAACTTAAGAATCAAAAAGCTGTGGTCAGAGAATCAGACTAAACGACTGTGTGATCAGATTCTCTCATGAGTTGTGTCCCTTTAGTTTTAGAAAATATGCACTCATCAGGCTCTATTCATTTTTTCTTTAAATCACACAAGTAAAAATATTTAATCTCTGAACAAAGCCAACCAAAAAATCCAAGTCTACGAAAAAGAAAAATGGAGCCCACTTAGGAATCTGAGTAAATAGCTAGATTTTGTATTGTGGCCTAAAAATCAACAAATTTAGGTTTTATCACATCAAAAAATGAATTGTCTTTCAAATTAGACTCCCCCCACTTAGAATACCCTGCCTCTAGCGCTCTCCCACCCCACAGATTTAGTGAACACATCACTGCTGATCTCCGGTTGCCAGACACATATTGTCACATCAGTTTTTGAATTTGCTCAGGACTAGTGTTGATCAACATTAGCAAAATTCTGATGCACGATTTACCACCAGTGCTGCGCCACAGATGGTTGGAAAAGTGGAAATACTAGTGTAGACAGGGCTCAGGCATTTGTTACCACCATTTTGTCTAACCCCGATCAGAGCAGAATTATATGACAAAAGAGTAAAAATCCTAAACTCAGCTTCACAGCTTCTACAATAACTATCACCAGTGATAAATTATGGGTTTGAATTTTTCTAATGCAGACAAAGCCTTAGCAATCTTTCTTTGATAACTGAAGGTGGTGAAAGAAGTGGGATAGGAACGACAGTGCTGTCACTGTTTGAAAGTGCTTGGAAAGCAATGCAGTGCTGTGAGAAAATGTAATGCTACCATCTTGGCTGCACACTTGGGACTGAACAAGGAACCTCCAGAGCTAAAAAAATGAGCTGCTACAACTTGAGCTAAAGAACCAATATCTCTAGCTGCCACTGTAAGAAACACCTATCATCTATGGATGGGGGACCTGTAACACACACCCGGGGGTTACACAACTATACTTTTCATTCTCAGTGAAGATATTCCTTTTTGTAATTAAGTACAGCCCCATCTTAGCTGAAATCAGTCTGTTTACCTGAGTCTTAAGACTCTAAATTATATGCATCCTGTTACAGATGGATCCATGATCAAAGTCCCAACAACTGAAGACTGCAATAACCATGCCATTCTCATTTAGTAATGTTCCTGTCTGACACAGCATCTAAGATTGTAATACAGGGTTGTGTGTGTGTGTGTGTGTGTGTGTGTGTGTGTGTGCTTTTTTAAATTAAAAAAGCACCTGGACTTGGTGGTAAAACATCCTTAGTGACAGGCCCAGATTGTTAACATTTGCTATTGTTATAGCAAATGTTAATTGAAATAACTGTAGATGAAAGAGATTTGAAAAATCCAAACTAGTGGCAACCTTAAAGGAGCTCCTGGTTAAGTAGCAGTAAAGAGTTTTTCCACAGAGGAAAGCAGGAGTGCAGGTTCTCTAAAATCACAGACAATGCATCTCTCTTGGAGCAAGGTGGCAGGTTCTTCCTACCACTGAAAGGAGCCCATTCCTGAAATGTAACTCAATAATGAAGAGAAAACAAAGGTTCCCTTCTCTTCCTGTGATGTAAACAGGGTCCAAATAAAAGTTCTCCTTTTTCTGGCTGCAGAAGGAAAAAGGCACAAGTGTGAAAGTCTTCCACTTCCTGATCTACAGACTAGATCCAAATAAAAATCCTCTCTTTTCTGATGTGTAACCAGAACAACACAGTCTCTTCTCAGGACTGTGAGTCTTGACTTTCCTCCGACAACTGGCTAGCCCTTCCCTTGGGCTTCTTTCATACAAATAAACTGGGTCCTGTAGCACAAGCCCTACCTGCATCCACTTGCCAGTCACATAGGCCTCTCTCTGTCTGATTCCATGTTCCTGCAGAACTGTCGGCCTCGGCTCTTACTGGGTAGCCCCAGCCAACCTGCCTTATAGGCCTCCTGGGACCTTGATAGCTAGTAAACCCCTGTCTTCACTCAGAGACTTGTCTAATGCTCTGAAGGCCTTGGCATTTCAAACTCCTGAGATTCTACAGGGTGGAAGTGCTCTCATACATAATAGCCTATTTACAGATCAGATTCCTAAACAGTGCCGGCCCAAAGGTGTTTTAGGGCTTGCCAAAAGTGTAAGCCCAGGTTAACTATTTTCTTTTCTTCATGGCTATGTGCTTATAACACCAGTGCCAACTAATGCTAGCCAATCCCTCTAAGCCAGTCCCATGAAGAGAAGAGTCTTCTACCCCACCCTAGATCTGCTTCTACCCAGTCTTTTATTAGTGACAATTGATTTTAAAGTCCTTTGTAGATGAGATGTGCAAACATTCCTGGTATTAAAAATATTATTTTATAGCTACAGCAAAACAGTTAGTTTAATGTGTTAAAGCTTGCCAAATTCTTTCCTAACCTATACTCTGACCCAAAGCAAATCTATGTGGTCAATCACTCCATTTTGTCTTCACTAATAAGGCTTAGAAATACTATACGATCGTAAATGCAACAGGTTAGTTCCCTCTATGCTGGGCTCCTAAAGACAATGTAATATATGGTAATGTGCCTCAGTTAGCTACCTCTAGCCCAGAAGGACATGCATGAGTTCAAATCCCACACCAGGAATTAGGCTCACAGTCAGTGATGATTGATGATTTATTACTTTTTGTATTTAATTATTCCAATCGTTCTACACAAGTGGGTGGGGAAGGGAGTGTATTGCACTATTTAGAGTTGTAGTACTTCCAGATGAGGCTTTACTGTCCATCTCTAGCAGCAGCTGGAAACTGCAGATCTCATGGTACTTTTCCAAGATCCGAATCCAAGTGTCATGGCCAAAATTCTTCCTCTCAGTAAAAAGGGTTTCTAATTCTTAGGGTTTTGTGAGTTATCATGAGCATAGTTACTGCTGCCTTTGTCTGCCCAGTCACTGTAGTTCTAACCTATTCCTTAGTAAAATAGTTTGATATATCTAGAGTATTAAAGGTTTAACATATAAAAACATTTTCTATTTTAACTGTAATATCTATTGGATTATAGATAAACTAAGAAGGATTTTTTTGGACAAAGCATAGGACTTTTAGTCAGAACACTTGGATTCTATTCTTGGTTCTAGCACAGACTTTTTGTGTGACCTGAGGCACTTCATAATGTTCTAAATTCAGTTGTAGTAGAAGTGGTTCCCAATTCCCATTGACTTCAATGGGAACTACACCATCTTACACCAGATCTGAATTTGGTCCTAAATTTCTTTGTGCCCATTTTCCTCATTTACAAAATGGAATAAATAACAACCCGAAGTGGTGGTGTGTAAAGTTAAATTCATCAATGTCTGTAAAGTCCTCGGAGATTCTTGAATAGAAGGTGTGATACCTTGTTAGTGCTAAGAGTTGTGAAGAAAATAATTCCACATCCATGTTCTTACCATCATCAGTGTCTTGGGATTTAAAGTGCTATCTGACTTGTTCTAGGTGCACATCAACAAGTGATTGTCTGCAATGAATCGCTCATGTTAGAAAAGTTGCCCAGATGTGGAAAATCCTTTGAAGAGATGATGAAGAAAGTGGACTCTAAAAAATGGTGCAACCTAACAGAATTTATCCCGTAAGTTTCATGTTTTTGTCTTTATTATTTATCATTTAAGGGTGTCAACCTTTTAAAAAGTCAATTGCATCAAGTGTCAGGAACAGCTCTATAAATACCAAGGATGTGGTGATTCCCCACTAGAATCAATTTGGACATCAGTTTGTTTATTGTGTTGGATTCAAACTCTCACTAATCTGTGGCCAAATTCTGCAAAATTTGATGGGAATATGGAGGCAAAACTTGTACTGAAATCAAAAGAAAATATTAATGACACTTTGAAGTTAATTGGAGTTCTGCCGGAGTAAAAACTGCTGGATTTGGCTCTTTTTTATTGCAGCAACAAAGAAGTATGAAAAATGGCTACATAAACTGGCAGCTCCATTACCATTCTCATCGGCTGCAATCCACCTCGCACCACTCCCTGTGGTTATCTGAGATTTATATTCAGCACTTAGTGGATACATTATCTGGTACCTGCTGAAAGCAGATGTACCACTTCTTTAATATTTATAAATTACTTATGTTCTAGATACAGTTTCTAACACTGAAACCCCATGTACTTGATTCTCTATTCCAGGGGTCGGCAACGTTTGGCACGCGACTCGCCAGGGTAAGCACCCTGGGGGGCCGGGCCAGTTTATTTACCTGCTGACGCGGCAAGTTCGGTCGATCACGGCCCCCACTGGCCGCGGTTCACCGTCCTGGGCCAATGGGGACGGCGGGAAGCCGTGGCCAGCACATCCCTCGCCCGCGCCACTTCTCGCCGCCCCCATTGGCCCGGGACGGTGAACCACAGCCAGTGGGGGCCGCGATCGGCCGAACCTGCCACGTCAGCAGGAAAATAAACTGGCCCGGCCCGCTAGGGTGCTTACCCTGGCGAGCTGCGTGCCAAACGTTGCCGACCCCTGCTCTATTGCATAGGGCTAAACTGTGCCTACCCTGTCCTAGGAGCAGTCTAGGAAACTGATTGTGACACAGATTTACAATCTACCGTTTAGTTTTTCCCTGCTCATGGTGTGTGTGTGTATGGACATTTAGCCTGCACCCGTTATGTGGGTGAGGGGTGTGTGTGCGCAAAGATGGCTTATAGCCACACAAAGGTAAAATGAGGCACAGTCTCTGACTCGGAGAGCACCTACTCTAAAACATATTAATAGAGGTTAATCAATAGGCTCCTCGTTGCTAATGTTGATTTAACATATGTCAACTGTCTTATTGTATCTATAGTGAATCCAGAGTTCAACACATTTAAGGCAAATGTTCTCTAAATCCATAGTTTTCTCATTAAGTTACTAATGCAAGGTGTATTTTCAAATACAACTACTCCATTCTCTTTATTGACAGCAATATTTCATGCTGTCATTTGTTTGTGTAGCCCCTGCCCCAAGGTGGGGCTCAAGCCTTCTTCCTGGTGCCTGCTGCTAGGCGTGGCTTCTCCCCTGTTGGGTCCTGGGTTTGTTTTCCTATGCCTGGTGTCTCCACCCAATGTGACCCGTCTCTGTGATGTCCCTTATGAGTAGGTGTGTTCGTGTAATGTTGAACATGGTTTTCAGAGATGCTGGCTATCCACAAAGCCAATTGAAATGGATGGGAGCTGTCAGGGTTCAGCACCTCTGAAAATGAGGTTCAGGTGAACTAGTTCCAGCAAAGTAAGAACTAAACAGGAATGGAACATTTTCCTCAGGTCTGAGATCAGTTTAAATCTCCCCTAACTCTGATTTTCCGGCCACTTATGGTAGCATGTTCTCTTCTCAAATGGTCCCTGATCCACTCCCCTGCCCTATGACAAGTCATCTCTAGGACTTGGAGAGAGCAGCTTAGTTCTTTCCCCTGACTCTCTGGTCACCAGTAGATAAGCTATGTGATAAAATGCAGCTTCTCTTCTGTGTCCTACTGCAGCAGCTTGCCAAGTGATACTTTGGGGCTTCCTGGGCATTTGTATCCTGACCCCCACTGAAACCTTAAAGTGAGTTAAAATGTCACGTGATCTGGCAGCATATTAACCACCTAGATACCATCTTCTGTTAGTCCTTGCCTTTGCGCGCATAGTGTCATTCTAAAGGTCACTTTTTAAAATACACACTTTCCTTCAACTTTTAGGGCCTGGGTGAAATCACTGGGGGGGAGGAAGGGGTAAGAGGGAACATGCCTCTCCCACTCAACTTCTTATCCTCTTGTTTATGTCCCAGAAGGGTTTAGAATTAATGCATTCCACTCCTGGCTCCACCCAGTTTTTTCTAATGTAGTTGCTCTCCTGTTCTAAGACCAAATCCATATAGTTGGACTGGGCACTGGGGACATGTGTGGGAGGTGGGTGGAGCAGGAGGAGGAATCGACTTGCTCCAGATTGTGGAATGACTGCAAAAGGGCTCCATGGAGCCTACTCCCATCTAGTATCTGGAGTAGCCTACACAGCCCTATGTGATCCCTTTTCAGCAGCAAGAGGGATCAACAAAGCAGCAGATCTTCTGGCACCACTCCTCCCCTCTATATATGTCCTACCCACACATTCTCCTAAGGCGAGGTAGGGCGTCACTCTAAGCTGGGCTATATGCTATGTAAGGGGGATGCACTCCCGCTGTACCATTCACTTAGTCTAGAGCCACTTCCTCCTTTCCCCTCAGTGCAGCAGAATCTCTCACTGGTTTTGCTATTGTGGGACCTTGGTAGTAATAGAGGTGAGGGCTGGGTTTCTCACTTGATGAAGAAACTTGTTTCTCCAACCCCAGAAGTCCATACGTGTGGTATTTGGAGGGCTGCATTTGATACATGTTAGCAGTGTGACCAGCATTGCCAACTGGTTGTCTAATTATCCCTACACTATGGCCAGTCCTCACCCACAGACAACCTGCCAACCTTAAGCATATTCTCACCAGCAACCACACACTGCACCATAACAACTCTAACTCAGAAACCAATCCATGCAACAAACCTCGATGCCAACTCTGCCCACATATCTACACCAGCAACACCATCACAGGACCTAACCAGATCAGCTACAACATCACCGGTTCATTCACCTGCACGTCCACCAATGTTATATATGCCATCATGTGCCAGCAATGCCCCTCTGCTATGTACATTGGCCAAACTGGACAGTCACTACGTAAAAGGATAAATGGACACAAGTCAGATATCAGGAATGGCAATATACAAAAACCTGTAGGAGAACACTTCAACCTCCCTGGCCACACAATAGCAGATGTAAAGGTAGCCATCTTACAGCAAAAAAACTTCAGGACCAGACTCCAAAGAGAAACTGCTGAACTTCATTTCATTTGCAAATTTGACACCATCAGCTCAGGATTAAACAAAGCCTGTGAATGGCTAGCCAACTACAAAAGCAGTTTCTCCTCCCTTGGTGTTCACACTTCAACTGCTAGCAGAGGACCTCACCCTCCCTGATTGAACTAACCTTGTTATCTCCAGACTGATTCTTGCCTGCATATTTATACCTGCCTCTGGAAATTTCCATTACATGCGTCTGACGAAGTGGGTATTCACCTACGAAAGCTTATGCTCCAATACGTCTGTTAGTCTTAAAGGTGCCACAGGACTCTCTGTTGCTTTTTACAGATCCAGACTAACACGGCTACCCCTCTGATACCCTACACTATGTTGACACTTGAAAATGATGGCTCCGTATAGCTTTCTTCTCTAGGAGTAGGCAGTAGACATGCAGGCAGGAGGAGTTGAGAGCCTGATGAGTTCTGATGACTTGTTGTTTGACTTCCCTACGCTCTCTCCATCCCCTTCCAACTCTCAACGTTTTACACTATGAGTCTAAAACTGCATGCTGTGTATCTAGGCTAAAAATAAGTTCTCATTCTGTGACAACTACACAGTTGGATGGCTGCACTATATTTTCTGCTCATCTGAAAGATTTAAAAATAGGAAAAAGGAAGAGAAAAATAAAGGAATAAGCATTCCACTGAAAAATTTATTCTGAAAAATGTTGAGGATGTGAAACTGTTCAAGTGCTCCTTTGCCTGAGGAAGCCAAACCTGTGGAAGCTGTGAAAGAGCAAGTCTTCTTAGTGGAGAGACAGAGGGTGATAAGTTGCTTGTAAGGCAATAGAAGAAACTGTGATTTGAATTTAGTTGTCCTTCCCCCATTAAATAGGCAGGAAGAAAAGTGTCTTAAATACACAGAGGAATCCTTGTCTCCTTCCAAGGAAAACTTGGGAGAATGTATCTTTATGGTGTAACCTTGGGTACGTCCTTGGACAAGTGTTGAAAGGACAGGAGAGCAGTCTGACACATTGGAGATCTTGGTCTCTTCTTGTTCCCATTACTATAATGGGAAGTTAGCTTAGTTTGCTGGGATCACAGTATGGGTATCCTCGTTATGGATTAGTGTGTTTTGCAACGTTCAGCATAAAACTTCAAGTTCTGGAGCTTAAGCATTGCATTAATACAGATAGTGCACTTTTGCAAGGAAGTATCTGTTTTGACTTATATCTTAATTGCACAATTTCTAATTAAGGTCTCTTCTGAACTGAGATATTGCAGAGATGTTTAGCACTTTGCAGTAATACCCATTTTATCATAAGAGTATGCTACAAAAAGCAACACATTAAGGGCAAATTCATGCACCCGATGGATCTATTTCCTTCTCTAATATTTTCCTCTCCCTACATGGGCAGCAATCTCATTGACACCCCCATGGGAGAAATGTATGTGTGCAAAAAACATAGTGTTGGAATCAAGATCCTGACATATTTTTGTAAAAAGGAATTTAAAATAAGGTGTGGAGCAATAATTTAACATTTTAACTCATCAGACAGGCCATTTTTTCATCTTTAAAGAGACACTGTCATTCTGCCCTCCTCCCCGCAAGGGCATGATCTGCATTATAACTATGTTATGATCTTCTGGGGGAAATAAACTACTTTGAATCAGATTCTGATACCCTCATGTTGAGTAATATCTTAAATTTATGGGACTACTTGCAGAACTAAATACTACTCAACATGAGTAAAGGGATCAGAATCTGGCACTGTTTATGCAGGATCAACA